TTATTTTATTTAAGTCACATTATCTTTCTATCACATTACTTTAAACTCAACTCATATTTGATAAAAAGTCAAAAATTGTACTTATTTAGAACATCCTAAACAACTTCTAATTAAAAATTAATTATTTCATTTAATTCTATTTTATTTTAATAAATTAAAAATTAAAATTAAATTACACTTTGATTCCTGTATTTTATCATTTTAGCTCTTAATTTTTTTTTCTTACTTTGATTATTTATTTTTCAAGTTTTTTTTTAATTTACTTTTAAAACTATTTTTTATTTAAAATTAGATAGAATATGGCCCCGTTTGGTGTAGCTGTTAAAACAACTTATAGATTATAGTTTAACAGATTATAGATTATGACTTTAATCAGAAGTTGTTAATCTGTTTAGTGTAACTGTTAGATTATAGATTTAAGTTGCTTAGTAGTGTTTGTTAAATAAGCTGTGAAATGGTTTTTTCAATTAATTTTTATTTTTTGTTTGTCTACATTTCTCATAAAAAATAATAATCTATAGTCCATTTGGATCTTTTTCTATTTTTAAAAAAATAAAAAATAAAAAAAATTAAGAATAGAATAAAAAATTAACATGTCCACAGCAGAAGCTGATAATCAGAAGTAATGGGTGCACAGCTTCTCAGAATCAGCTTTTTTGAATTAAAATAAGCTGTTAGAATCAGAAATTGTTTGAAATAAGTTTAACCAAACAGTCCAAAATAACTTTTTCAAAGCTAAAAGTCATAAGTTAACTCTAAAAAGCTGAAACAAACACCCCCTATGTCGGATTAGGAATCACATGATGTAAAATACATTTTATATTTATCCTATACCTCACCCAAACTTAAATCTAAATATAATAATATATTTTTTACCTCACGTGGCAGTCAACATGATATTTTTTATCTAATTTTAAATAGAATTTCGCTTTAGAGTTAAATTGAAAAAACTTAAAAGGTGAATAACTAAAGTGAGATAAAAACTTTAATGGTTAAAGTGAGAAAATAAGTAAAACATAAAGAAATAAAGCATAATTTGCCAAAAAAAAAGAATATTAGTACTACAAGACTAGACGACAAATCCTTATTGCCTAAAATGAAATAATAATATTATAAATCTAGACTTAATTACTTAGAAATTATTCAAAATTATTATCTTGTGCTTCAAATTTATTCTATGCATGGATATCACATTACACAAATTCAATTTCAACCATACACTCTCATTCAGGATAAATTAGGAATATTTTTTTAAATAGAACAAATTCAGGATAGTTAAGTGGAGTTCATAGACCTCGGGCAATTGCCCAAACGGTCATGGAGAGAGCAATTAGCTACCAAGACGAGTGAGGTTTCAGGTTTGAATATATGAAAAGGCGTTGACTTGAGTTACAATCTAATTACTCACAGTCATTCGGGATAAATTATGAATATTTTTTTAGATAGGACAAATTCGGAATAGTTAAGTGGGGATCATAGACCTCCGGCAATTGCCCAAACGGTCATGGAGAGAGCAATTAGTTATCAAGACGAGTGAGGTTTCAAGTTTGAAGATATGAAGAGGTGTTGACTTGCATTGTAATCTAATTACTAATATATAAACTGTTATCTTGGGGGGGGGGAAGTGGGGTTCATAGAATCATTGAAATTGAAATACGTCAAGTATTAGTTGAGCTTAATCAATCTCGAGTAATGCTATATAAACAAAAAATTCATATATAATGATATGGTTTTAGACCTTTCACTTTAAAACAAAATACCATTGAAGATGAGTTTCTTTACAATATCATTCTTATCAAGTTTTTTTGTATGAATTTTATACATGAATATAATTTTCCATCTCTATTAATAATTTCCTTTGACAGAAGTTCAATGACTAAAAAAATTAACAAATTAATAACTAAACAATCCTATTAGTGGCTTCTTATTATAACTATGAAACCCAGACTTACAATCCCAATTTGGGGTCAAGAATGGAATGTTTGGTGAAAATTGAAAATGTGTATTATGAAACCCATGTATAAAATGAATCTAAATCACATATTAGGATTTTTGGGTAATTTCTGAATTTGTAGTGTTGTTGCTATAAAAAATGATACCGGATATCGGTTTTTTTTTTTTATATATATATATTATTAATGTCTATTTATATATATATATTATTAATGTCTATTTGGTTTCTTTTAATTGGTATAATCATTAAAAAAAAAAATGAAGACAAATAAGATATTGTCATGCAATCCGGTAATATAAAACGACAAAAAATCTGATGATATGTAATGTTTTTTTTTTCTTTTTTTTTGGAGACTATATAGTTGGTGGAACAAAAGTTAATTTACGATTTAACTTATTTTGAGACTGTTTTTGTGAATTTCACGTGTCTTTAACCTTGTCAAAGTCTATGTTAACCTCTCTTGTTTAGTTTCTTAGTGAGTAGAGATAATATAAAATTGTAAAATTATTTGATCTCATCGCCCACTCTCCTATCCCTTTGATGCCAAGTTGTCAATATAGTGATAGTTGAAAAAAATTTAGAGTACACAATAGATGGATGTTATATATGATTAGGAGAAGTTTATTGAATTTCTCTCTCTTAAGTGGCTTTTCATATATCGGATAATATGTACCATTTTAATTTAGGATGCAATAAATTTTATACATACATATCATATTTATTACATAAATTCATATAAAAAGTATAAAGGAAAAGTAAATGAATAGGATAAATATCATTTTCTTATGTAATAATATAATATTTTTGTTAATGTAATATTGTTCCCAATAGACTCAAATACTGAAAACAGACAAGAGAACAATCATGAAGTTTTGGACAGCAGCTGAGCTGGTATAATAATTTAGAGTAATGATCCATCCCCTTTTTTCCCCACCCCCTTTGACCCCCTCTCTCTCTCATTGGTCACATTTTCTTTTTCTTTTTCTTTTTTTTCCTGCTCCACCAATCACCCTCTGTCACGTGACAAAGGGGGTGAGGGGATGACCCCCAAAAGGGAGTCCAAGCATTATTCAATAATTTATCATCTCTGAGCTTTTCATGCCTACATGCTTTTTTCTGGTCAAAGATAATGCTAGCATATTAGTATCGGTAGATGACGATTGAAGAGTTTACCAATGCTCTATTAATTTGAACCTCTAATTTCGTGCGCATCACACCTTGAAATGTAATTATAAATTACTAAAATAATGTGACCACAGATCATTGGGCCACACTCAAATCTTAATCTGCACTTACCTTGATTATCAAATCAAAAATGCTAGAGGTCTTAAAAATTCTACCAAAAGTTTTATCAAATGTCTTACATGGGTGTGGGACCCACATGGAACCCACATTGTGTAGGTCCCACACCCATGTGAGACATTTAGTAAAATTTTGATAGAATATTTGGAGTCTCTAATATTACTCTTATCAAATTACATCAAAGGGTAGCAAAAATAAATGCCTAATGGTCAATCTTCATCCATGTTCCCCGCCTTCTAGGATGATATATAAGTTAGTTTAGAAAGATAGTTAAAATGTGATTTTTTAATTTTTAATCTATTTTGAATTATATTATTACTTCTCTATTTTTTATATATTTTTTTAAAAAATTAAATAAAGTTAAAAAATTAGTTTTAAACTAATTTTTTAATATATATATATATATGATTTGATTCTTGCGTCTCCATTACTTTGTTTTTGTTTTTGAGTAAATAATATATGGCTCCTTGGAAAGAGAGCAATGACCCTTTTGGTTTTGATTTTTATAAACTTTCATTTCTGGATTTTGTTGGCTTCTCACTCCCTCTATGTAACAGAAAATTAGCTCCTCACTCATTGGTCATAAAAATATATTTTTTTTGATTATATTTTTTATTATCTAAACTAATATATTTATTGGAACATGAATTATAGGCAGGGTACCAAACTGCTTCAAAATTATAATTAAAAATACAAAGTGAAGTAACAAATTCGCATCAAACATAGAAGCTTACAAAGTGACTTTATAGGTTGCCCCCCACCAAATTGGCATTAAGTGAGTGACTTTATAGGTTGCCCCCACCAAATTGGCATTAAGTGAAGTCCTCCTTCGACATTGACTTCTTTAATTAATTTTTTTGAATTATGATTTTTTTAGTTTAAAACTAGGTAGTTCGTTTAATTTGATTTTTTTGATTTTTGTGAAAAAAAAAAAATAATTATGATTTAAATGTGACATTTTATTTTATTAGCTTATTTAATCTATTTTGGGTTCGTTTGAGAATTAAGTTGACTTTTTGGCTTTGTTAACTATTTTAGTTTGGGGGTTAAAAAGTCTCGTTTGTTAACTATTTTAGTTTGGGGGTTAAAAAGTCTCGTTTGGGAAGGGCTTTTGACTTTTTTATTTTTTTATGAGAGAAAGAATGTAATGGTTATGAGTTGAATGTGATATTTTGTCTTATTAGATTAAAAAACATATTTTATTTTTTATGACTAAAAGAGCCAAAAAAAAGCCCCAAAAAAAGCCCCAAACGCTTCCCAAACGAAGCCTTTGTTTTGTTCCAAAAATAAAAAACCGAAGCCTTTTTTGTGCTTTTTTTTAACCCAACTAAATTAGCCAAACCAAGGCTAAGACTAAATTTCAATAAAAATATATCAAACAAAAAGAAAAATGACTCAAGACAAAAAATTTCATATATAAAATTAATTCAAAATAATACAATAGTGACATTTTTAGAAGAATTATAAAATATTTGTACTTATTTAGACATAAATATATATATATATATATATATATATGAAACAGATCAACGGATATTTTTATTTTATAATCACCAATATCAATAAATCTTAGTTTGAAATTAAAAAATGATTCAGCAAATTTCAAAAAAATTATAATGACCCTGATATTTTAAGTCGTTGATTTTGAATTTTGACCATGTGCAGCAACCTTATCAAACAAGATTGAGATGATATAGAAACACTAAGAAAAATTAAATCAACTAATATTATTAGTACTAATTACCTTAATTTGCTCAGCCTCAGAGCTCTGATGATGGCTTGATCTAAAATATGCATCGGGGCATCTGTCTACTAACTTGTTCCTCCTGCAAAAGGGTAACCAGTGGCTTCCAAACTTAGCAGCTTCCATGAAAGCAAAGAGAGTCATGGCAGAGCCTCCATCGTCCGATACATAGACCGAAAGTTTCTCAGTCGGGTAATCATAAGCCATGACCGATAAGGCCGTGTTCACGACACTCATCGGTGGCTCTTTATACGGATCTGCAGTGCATATAAATATGTCCAAAGCTTGAAAATCATTTTCTTTCATGACTTTCTCAAGATTTTCCGGGAAAACTTGGCGATGGACTGGATTCATGAGAAAAGACTGCATGGCAGCCCACATGAACCCTAAAATTACATCGGAGATTAATAAGGTGATGGAGATGGAGAAGGAGAGTAAGGTGGTGGAGTGGAAGACTGTGATTGCATGGTGATAGAGGAGAGCCAAAATGGCACACGTGTAAACTACCGCGAAAACCCGGTTTGGGGCAATGAGAGGGGAGAACGTAAGTGTGTGAAGAAGGGGCTTGGTTTTGACACCCTCCATTTCTATGGAAAATGGTTTGTCTCACTCACAGGGATTACCTAAGGTTTAGTTTGTTGTATGGTTGATTCTTTACAGGCCTATATGTGAGCTGTGAAGTGCTTCACACGTGCGAAAGATTATGTAAATATGGCAATACTCGTGTTGAGCATATTTTCCACTGTATAATAAGGTCTACAGCTCAGAAGAAAAAAAAAAAAACCCCCAGAAAATTATTTAAAATTTATAATCAAATTTGAAGATTGATTCATGGTATCATCTTTTTGGGAATTTGGTTATTTTAATTAATTTTTTAAGAAAAGATGTATAAAAAAATAGAGAGAATGATGTGATAACTTGATTTAGATTTTTGACTATTTTAGCAAAAAAGTCACTTCCCAAACAATCCCTAAATATGGGAGAGCGTTTGAATTTGGTGGGTTTATTTTGAAACCGATCTTAATGATCCAACCTGTTCAGTTTTTAGGATTCATTTACTAGAATATATTTTTCAAAAAAAATCAAGATGATTAGATATCGGTAACTATACGTTGAATAGCATTTGTATTATAAAAAATAGATAGATATTTTTAAAATTATATCTGTCGTTCATTTTTTTAAAAACAAATATAATTCAAATATATATCTATCGATATCTGATCATATTAATCTTTTACATAAATATTCTACCTAATAAATTTTAAAAGGTAAATGATTTGAATCACTGAGGTTGGCACAAAATGAACTCACAAAATTCAAATACTCTCTCAAATTAAATGGGCAATTTCAGACAATCTAAACCCTTTAAATATGTACCCTAGATTTGCATTCTAGGCAATTTTTGATTTCCCTTTCCTTTCGTGTGCGATATACAAGCAATAAATATGTGGCTTTGATCTGAATCTAGAAAATGAAATTTTATATTATTATTTTATATAGAAATATGTGGCTTTGATCTGAATCTAGAAAATGAAATTTTATATTATTATTTTATATAGAAATATGTGGCTTTGATCCGAATCTATCACTTTACACACCACATTATTTTTGTGAAATTATATATTTTCCTTTTGTCTTCTAACTTCTAAATAGTCATATTAATAAAAATAAGTGGAGCTATTTTGTACATGCAGTGGTGATACAGACCACTAAATCAGCAGCACTATTGCCAGCTCTAATGAGTTGGTAGGAAAAGAAAAAAAATAAATAAAAAAAAATATAAAAAAAGGGGTAAAACATCATATCAGGAGGTAGACCTTGCCAATTAGAGCTCTCCTAGAGCTCCTAAATTAATGGTTTTAAATATATTTCTTTGTACACCAGTTTAGATACGATTTCATGAGCTTTAGAAGAGCTCTAAACAAGTGGGTCTTACTTGTGATATGATGTGTGTGTGTGTGTATTTTTTTTCTTTTGGGACTGTGAAAGACGGTGAAAACACGGTTCAGGGCAATAAGAGGGGAGAACCTAAGTGTGTGAAGAAGGGGCTTGGTTTTGACACCCTCCATTTCTATGGAAAATGGTTTGTCTCACTCACAGGGATGATATGAGGTTTACTTTGTTGTATGGTTGATACTTTATAAGCCTATATGTGTGAGTTATGAAGTGCTTCACACGTGCGGAAGATTATGTTAAAATCGCGATACTTGTGTGGAGCATATTTTCCTCTGTATAAGAGCATTTCTAACGGTGAACTATTTTTTTTATCAAATTTGAGGGAAAAAAAGGTAATTTCCTGAATCTGATACGAGGTGCTTCAACGGTTGCACTGTAACTTGCATCAAAAGACTGGGGGCGTCCGGTGAGATGACTAGCAGGTCGACCGGTTAAGGGACTGAAACTTCTCTCAGCAACCAATTGAGGGTATTTGAAGTTTGGGGAAAAAACAGAGTAATACTAGAGTACCTCCAATCAGGCCAAGGAACCCATTACAATTGGTTCCAGGGAGAACACTAGCATTGGAGTTCACGTCTTTCACAGCCTCCTCAATTGCAATCTTGGCCACTCTACCAATCAGGAATGGACCGAGGGGGGGCTGGCAGGGGCGACCGTCCCCCTCCCAAAGTTTTGAAAAAACTCTCTAGATATAGTATTAAAATTATAAATATTTTAAAATTATATAAGTTTGCCATTTCAAAATTTTTGTAAAAAATTTAAGAACCGCCACTCCCTAAATTTTCTACTTTAAAATTAAAAAAATTAATTTTTGTTTGATAAATACTAATAATAATAATAATAATAATAATTTATTTTTTGAAGAATGATTACTTTTTATTTTAAATTTAATAATGTTAAAATAATTGAGAATTTATTTATTAATATGTTAAAGTCTTTTTTATCTGATTAGGGTCTAAATTTTTTAGTTGTTTGGTTATAACTAAATAAAATAAAATAAAAAAATAAAACTCACATGCCCCACACTTGAGTTGAAAAGGTCCCCAAATTCTTATTAACCTAATTCTCTAAGCCCCTTCTCCACCACTTTACTCTCTCTCTCTCTCTCTCTCTCTCTCTCTTTGGGTTTTGGGATTATCATTGAAGCAGTACTAGAGGTTTCTCTAATTACAAGCCTTCCTGGATTCTACCTTCCTTTCAAAACACTATTCTAGGTATGCAATTCAATCCTATATACATTTATAACTACTCTACAATTTCTACATATCTATACATAGAGATATGAATGTAGTAGAATTAATTGTAGATTGCTTGTGCATATATAATTAATATCAATGGTACATATCTTTTTTGTAGATTATATATAATTATAATTTCAATGGTACATATCTTTTTTATAGAAAATTCTACATATGTAATATTACTGCATATATAATTAATCCGTATTGAGTTCAAAACGCATCAATTTTGAATTATAATAGACTTGTTGTCTCCGAAAGAAATCTTCTCTTGCTTTGGTTGCAAAACCAAACATTTACTGTAGGCTTAAATAATAATAATAATAATAATAATAATAATAATAATAATAATAATAAATATCTTTAATTTCTCAAAGATGAATAAGCTTAAATACCTTTAATTTCGTTGCAATTCACTTCAATTTGGATGCTATTCATCTCGTTAGGGTTAGAAATTCTATTACTCTGAAGATTCTTACTGTTTACCCATTGAAAATGACATGTCCTTTGTTAGATTAGATTATATTGTTAGTGTGCTTCTTACCTAGTGAGTAACAAAAATTATTTAATAAATTTCAGGTTCATTTCTGATGGATTTTCCTCATCGAAGAAAGTTAATAGTGGGAAGAATTGTGCTTTCTTAACTCATATGGGAAAGGATCCTAATTCATCACACAAAATTGCTATTAAATCTTGCCATGATTTAACAAATCAAGCGCAACACATTTAGAAGATAGTTGAGAAACAAACTTCTCAACAAGTTACAAAAAACCGTTTGTGGTTAAAGACTACAATAGATGCTGTCAAATGGCTTACATTTCAAGCTTGTACATTTAAAGGCCGTGATGAAAGTCATGATTCTAATAATCGAGAGAATGTTATGTTTTATTATTTTATATTTATTTTATATAAAAATAATTTAACAATCCCTACACTAACAACTATCATCAAAACAAACACAATTTTACTTAGGCCTCGTTTGGCAAGAGGCTATTTTAGCCAATTAGTCAAAAAGTTACTAAATTAGTCAAAAAGCCAACAACCCATATCAAAAAGTCAAAGATTATCTTTTCTCTCTATTTTTTGCACATCTTTTCGTAATTAGCCAAAAAGTCATCCCAAACATACAAGTTTTTTTTCCCTATCTTTTTAGCCAAATAGTCAAAAAGTTACTAAATTAGCCTGTTCCCAAACGAGGCCTTAATCCCCTTACTAACAATCCCTTCACTATTAATCTCTTCACTATCAACCCCTCCATTTTACCTCCGAAAACAAACGGGACCTAAGCCCCTTCTCCACCACTTTACTCTCTCTCTCTCTCTCTCTCTCTCTGGGTTTTGGGATTATCATTGAAGCAGCACCAAAGGTTTCTCTGATTACAAGCCTTCCTGGGTTCAATGGTACCTTCCCTTGCAATTTAATCCTGTATACATCTATAACTATTCTACAATTTCTACATATCTATACATAGAGATTTGAATGTAGTAGAATTAATGTAGATTGCTTATGCAATGTTGTTGTGTGTGAAGGTATGTGACCATAAATGGCAATCCTGATCCTCCAAAGAACATTTTCTACTACTTTGCTGTCTTCGAAAGAAATCCATCAAACGATCCGGTAGTTCTATGGCTCAGTGGTGGACCTGGTTGCCCTAGCTTTGATGGCTTCACCTACGAACATGGTACATATCTTTTTTATAGAAAATTCTACGTATGTAATATTACTGCATATATAATTAATCCATACTGAGTTCAAAACGCATCAATTTTGAATTATAATAGACTTGTTGTCTCCGAAAGAAATCTTCTCTTGCTTTGGTTGCAAAACCAAGCATTTACTGTAGGCTTAAATAATAATAATAATAATAATAATAATAATAATAATAATAATAAATATCTTTAATTTCTCAGAGATGAATAGGCTTAAATATCTTTAATTTTGTTGCAATTCACTTCAATTTGGATGCTATTCACCTTGTTAGGGTTAGAAATTCTATTACTCTGAAGATTCTTATTGTTTACCCATTGAAAATGACACGTCCTTTGTTTGTTAGATTAAGGCCAAGTTTGGATAGTATGAAAAAATCCAAAAAGTCAAAAAGTTACTTAAAAAGTTAAAAAGTTAACACTATTCACTAAAAGTCAACAATTATGGCTGCGCAACTCCCAATCTTAATTTTCCTTTACAAACTAATTTTTACAATTTTTTATTACACATTTTTTCATAAAAAGTCAAAAAGTTAACCCAAACATCCATATTTTTTCCCTCAATTTTTTAGTCCAAAAAGACAAAAAGTGCACTTATTTAGGATACCCCAAACAACCCCTAAGTGTGGTTTTTACCTAGTGAGTAACAAAAATTGTTTAATAAATTTTAGGTTCTTAAATAAAATTGAGTTGAATGTTAGGTGAATTATGGTGAACAAAAAAATTGATTCTTT